AATCGATAAGAGAATCGATAAAGAATCGAATCGTTAAACAGAATCGAAAATGGAATCGGAATCGTGAAAATCTTATCAATACCCATCCCTACTTAGGACAAAAACACATCATAGTCAATCAAGGCCGTTTTAATAAGGTTAAAGTTTTACCCAGTTATGAAACAGCAAAACTGATTTTATATTTGGTAAATGCATATATTCTTGTATCTTTTGGAAAGTTTTGTTTTAGGCAAAATTGTAAATGCATTGTTCTTTAGTTTCAGTTTGTGTATATTATGAAAACAATCTTGCCATGCTGTTGCATCACTTATTCAATCAATCTTGCTTCCTGCAGCCTTTCTGACCTTGTAAATAACATAGATGAATAACATAAATACATAAACACTGAAGACATGGAACAAATCTGTGTCATGTCATTTATGTTTATTCTTCAGAGAACTTCCTTTTGGAAAGTTTTTTTTTTTAAGTTTGGTGGGTTTTTTTATATAAATTTTTATTTTAAACATAGCTTTGGAAGTAAACCCAGACTCTTTTTGTGCTGTTTTATCAAAATTGTGTTGACATTCTGACAAAATAGTAAAGAATCTGAGTGTCTCCAAAGAACACATTTGCTTGTCATACCTAACAGTTGCTGTTAGTTTTGTTTTGTCTTTATGTATTTGTTTACCAAAGTTATTCCTTTTTACATTTTTCCTAGCTGGGTTTTTTTTCCCCACATTCAAACAAAACTAAATGTCAGTGTTTCTATATTTACTCTTTCACTCACTCCTTATTTTTACATATCCACTAAGATCCTATAGTCAAACATCCAGCCATTTCCATCACCTCAGCAATAACACTAGCTCTTCCACCTTTTCGCACTTACCCTTACTCATCCCCTGACTACCATCTGTTTATGATCAGATCTGGTTCCGCTCACCTCCTTTTGTTCTACTTACCTTCTCTTGCTTTTTTTCTTTTAACCTTAATCAACTTTTGTTTTTAAAACTTCTACTTATTGTTGGACTTCTCCTTTTTTGTTTTTGTTCCTGATTGTTCCCAGTCTATGCCTTCTGGCTGACTTCACCCTCTCTGAAAGAACCTTTTCTACCTATTCAATAGCAGGTAAACTATTTGAACTTTTGCTCTAAACGTATTGTTTATATATCTGCCTATTCCTAGCAATTTTGTTGTTTGATTAGAAATTGCAATTTATCTTCCAGTTTCTCTTTTTGGTCATGGATGATTTTGTGAGAAACAAACTGACTGAATGGGATCTACAAAAGTGGATGGATAAATTTGAAGGTAAGGTATTACTATGCATCACTGATGAGCACAGATTTTAAACAATATTGATGTGATACAGTGTTTAATACGTCAGTTTGGCAAGCGAAAGGTCACTGGATTATTTCCAGCTGGAGATTTGGGTTTGTATCAGGAAGAGCATCTTTCTTTTACCAGGGCGACCGTGGCTCAGGGGGTTGGGAAGTGCATCTGTAACCGGAAGGTTGCCAGTTCGATCCCCGGGTGACTTCTCACCCGATCTCTAGGGGAGAGGCCAGCTACCCATTTCCGCCACTTGTATCTGCGATCTTTCAGTCACTCACAGCTCATTACCATACGTGATGGTAGGGATGTAGATCAACTGGTTAATTGAGAGCTTTGCTTTTACACTCAGCTATCTCTTCACCACGATGGAACAGAACAACGTCAACATCAATGCAGCCGCAGCACCAATCTGTCTTTTGATCTCCTGCTCCCTTCTCCCATAACTCATGAACAAGACCCGAGATATGTAATGTACTTAATGCTATGTGGACCAAGCTCATGCAACAGTTGTATAAGGATCAAATGGCCCATAACAATGGGTCAGACACCAAATACTCCAGAAACAACACCCACTGTGTGAAATCTATAATCCGGTTTTGAGATCCTTTCCCAAACAACACCCACTGTGTGAAATCTATAATCCGGTTTTGAGATCCTTTCCCAAACGCCTTAACGCCCACTCATATCCTGGGCCTGTTGACCTCAAGAAATCACATGGGTGGGGCTTGGTTTCACAATAAGTTCACCTGATTGTAACCTACACACGTTTTCACACCTTGGCTCATGTGAGTATGTAGAGGATCAACAGGGGGCTCTTGACCCCCTTGGGGGACACTCCCCTAGGACTTAAATCTGGGACTATCCACCATTTGGCCCTAGAACTGAAGAAGCTTCTCGGATGAGCGGTGAAACGTCTTCAAGCAACTTAAAGAAGTCCAGACACTTTTCTTTCTAAGCTCTTTAGACGACCATGACCTGGATGACTGAGAACCTTTTCAGACATGTGTAGTAATTTTAAAATGATTTGCACTTCTGCATTACTAAGATTTATTTAATTACAGATGAAGAAATTACAGAGGAAAGCTTTTATGAACTTAATGATGAACTCATTGATAAATTGATTCCAAAAGTTGGACCAGGATTAAAGTTCAAGAAGAGATTCAAGCAGTTAAAGGTAATTTTACTGTATGCAATTTAATATTTCTTATATTATTTTGTACATTGTAACATTTGGTCTGATAAATCTCAATTAATGCAAATCTGTGTTAGAATTACATTGGTATCTGCAAATTACAGAGTAAAACGAAACTATTTACCGGGCCTCTTTTGTTGTTGCTAGGAAAAACAAAGTGCAAATGAGGAAACAGTCAATTTATCTGCTAAAGTAAGTTAGATAAAATTTTGTTATAACTGGCTAAGATCAATAATAGCAATTATGTATTTCAGTTATTTTGCACTAATTTTTTTGTATTCACTATTAACAGGAGCGAGAAGATGCACCTGATTTAGATCGGGTAAGAATTATATATATATATGTACACACATTAGGGATGCACCGATACCGGTATCTGGTATCGGCCTCGATACCACATTTTCTAAAGTACTCGTACTCGTTAAAAGTCCCCCGATACCAGGGACCGATACCACGGTCTGAGACCTGTCTATGTTTGAGCGGCATGTAAGGGGTTAATCACAGGCGTCGAGTGCCCGCCCCCAGGCCCCCGGCTGCAGCTCAGAGCAGGGAGAAGGCGAGGCGAGACATATCAGCCGTGTGGAACTATTTTAAAGTGAATGAAGACGACAAAACAAAGGCGGATTGCAAATTGTTCTCAGCGAAATTGTCCAGAGGAGGCTCAAAAGGTAGCGCATTTAACACAAGTAATTTAATCAAGCACATAAAATCCCAACTCGACAACGAGTACAAAGAGTTTACCCACGCTTATTAGCACAGAGGAACATAGCTGATGCTATAGCAGTGGGACGGAAAATAGTTGGGCATTTTAAACATTCCGCCTTAGCCTACTCCCGCCTCGAGGACATTCAGGGACAGCTCAACCAGCCAATAAAGAGACTGCAGCAGGACGTACAGACGCGCTGGAACAGCACGTATTACATGCTCCAGTCCCTCATTGAGCAAAAGCAAGTGCTGGGCGTGTATGTGTCCGAGCATGAACTCCCTGACTATCTCACTGCTCACCAATGGGCTCTTATGGAGACGACTGTTGCCATCCTCGCCCCCTTTGAGGAACTAACTAAAAAAGTGAACAGCTACGACGCACTAGCCTCTGATGTCATCCCAGCTGTGACTGTGCTAGTGAGACTTCTAAACAGAGAAACAGACGAGGACCACGGCGTCAAGACAATGAAAGAAACCTTACTGGCAGCTGTCAAGAAGCGCTTCAGTGACGTCGAGACCAACCCACTGTACTTCATCTCCACCATACTCGACCCAAGGTAAAGTCTGTGTGCTCTAGGTATTCAATGATAAACTACAGTACTAAATGTAAGATTATTTTACATCTGAAATATTATATATTTGTAACTAAAATACACAAATAGAAATGTATGCAATATATATAATATGAAATACATTTCCCTTATTACTACCAGAAAGTCAAATGGCTGGCATTTGTCACAGTGGTTTAGGGGAAGCTAAATTCAGTCCTATTTTTCCACATATTAATACATTTATGAATTTTGTGCAGGTATAAAGATCGCTTCTTCTCCAACAACACTGCTCCAGAGGCCAAGCTGCACCTGAAGCAGGAGCTGCAGATGATGTCCAGAGCTGAGGCAGAGGGGAGTCGGGCAGAAGCTGCAGAACCTCCTGCTAAACTGTTCCTCAAGGCCCAGGCCAGCACTAGCAGCAGTCTGGACACTGTATTTGACAAAATCGCTAAGGAGCAGCCCCAGGCAGCACAGCCGCTGGCAGCAGGTGCTGCCATTGAGCTCCAAGCCCTCGTGAAGACTGTCCTCTGAAGTACTGGGGTGTCAACAAAATCAGGTTCCCCACTTTGGCTAAAATAGCCCGTAAATACCTCTCAGCCCCATGTAGCAGTGTGGAAAGTGAAAGGCTTTTTAGCTCAGTGTCACACATTATAGATGAAAACAGAAACAGTCTGACTGCTGATAATGCAGAAAAGCTACTTTTCTTTATAAAAAAAACCCCTGCCACTCACTTTTTCTCTCCATTAAGTGAGTCATCTTAGACTTGATGTTAATACCTACCTCAGTTGCACTGACTGCCACAGTTCTATGTTGGTGGATGTTGTTAGTTTATTCAAATATTGTGCACTAAAAAGCAAAGATGTTTATTAATGCCCCTTGTGTTGTTCAAAGCAGCAGAGTTTAGAATAAACTGAAAAAAATACTTGAGTTGCACTGTCACCGTTTAAAATTTTTTTTCATAATTATTTATTCTGTAATATGTTGCATACAACATGCTTTTCATTTTAAATAAATGTTCTTAATTCCAAACCAGTCTCTTGTTTTTTTGTTGTTGTTTTTTTTTTTTGTTAAATTATAGGACTAAAGCTGTTACCTGTAAATTTAAATCATGTTTTTATTAAGTACTCGGTATCGGCGAGTACTGAAAAGCAAGTACTCGTACCCGTACTCGTTTTCCAAAAGAGTGGTATCGGTGCATCCCTAATACACACACACACACACACACACACACACACACACACACATATATATATACTGACATACATATATAAAATCTCATGCATTAATGTGTACATTGATCCCCAGGTTTTCCCATCCACAAGTGGTAAAGGTAAGATGTATGCCATCTTATTTATTACAAGCAGTATTAAGCAGTATTTTCAAGACAACAGTCACTTGGACAGAAGAATATCATTGAAGTTAAATATTAAATTTGACTCCTGAGCAAATCCCAGATAACAAAGTTATATATTTATCCTTTTCTTTAAATGTTTTTCTATCCAATTAGGAAAGAGAAAGTTCGACCAACTGGACGAGTCCAGCAAATTGCAACCCCTAGCTAAACGACAACGTAGCTCCCAACCATTGGGTATTTCTCTCTAAACATTGGCCATTAAACAAAACTGCCATTTTTTAATGTATTGGTTTATTGGTGTAAAAGTATGTTATTACAATTTAATTTTGAAGAGGCAACAACATGAGTGCTACATATACCATAATTAAAGTTACCATATTGTGTGCCTGATACATTACATTCACGCAGGCCCTCCCAGGCCCCCATACCTGGGAGGGCCTGAGATGCTCCCAGAGAGCGAAGACGGGACAAAAGTGCATTCCAACTCTAATGCACACATATACACATACTCTGCACTCACCCAATATGGAGACAAACAGAAAAGGACACTGTACACACACCCACACTCCCCAAACATACTCTATACCCCAGGTCCAGATACCCCTGCCCCCGAACTGGAGTTACTCTTGCTGAGACTGGCAGGAGCTGAACCACTCCCTGAAGTGGTAGCTTAGTGAGCTGTGATTGGCAGGGCTGGGTTTACTCATATTTCTCCTCTTCCAGCCTATGGGCTGGTTAATGGGTCATAAATGTCATTTGTATGAATGCAGATCAATGACAGTTGAAAGCTTCAGGCCGGAGGATCCTTTCAGTATCTTTGCTATTCTCAGGATTGCGCTCTAACACATAGAGCTCACATGGTGTTTCTGGGATCTGTTGTAGTCACCCTCCCAGTTTGGGGATTACTGCCCTGAGTGCTCTGATTACCATGGTGGGGACCACTCTGCTTCCACCCTTCACATCTTATACAGTTCTTCTCTTAGCCCTTGGAATTTCTCAAGCTTCTCGTTTTACTTCTTCCTAATTCCATCATATCTTGATATAGTTACATCTATCACTACAGCCAGTCTTTTTGCTCCATCTCCAGGCTTGGTGGGGCTGCTGTTCTCATATTCTTCCCATGCTACTTAGCGTACACCTTAGATGGTTTACTGAAGAGCATCTGGCTTGTCCTCCTGGCCTCTGTCTTTCTGGTGTACCTCTTTAGGTGGCTAGTGAAGGCTATGAGTCTTTGCTTGGCATTTTATAAGGCTTCAGGCATGGGTAGCTTTCTGAACTTCTTAAGCATCCCTTTCTTCATCACACCTTTCTCCAGCTCTTATAATTGGCTGACTTCCATCCTTGCTGCCTTGATCTTAGCCTCTAGTCTCCTTTTTCATGGAGGATACTGCTTCTTGTGGCCTTTTTTTTATCTTGTATCCAAGCATCCCAAAGATCACTGCTTCTGTGGTGTAGATCAACTGGTTGGTTTCAGTGATAGTCATAGTAAAGATTATCCATAATGCTGCATTTACTTCTTCTAGTAGACTGTCAGAGGATACATGTCATACTCTTGGTAATCAACCATGGAGGATCCAGGTTTCTAGCTTAGCCACAATATTTTCTTTAAGCTCAATCCCTTCAATACACCTGTTGTTCTTGGAGCTCTGTGAGACCTAACATGACCTGTCCCACCATTGCATCCAAGAGCAGTTACTTCTCTTGGATGCTGGAACAATGAGCTACTTGTTGTTTTGCCATTAGTCTAGATGTTAGTCTAAACAGGTTTAATCAGATTGGTAAAGCTGTTGTTTGTTTAGCATATATTAGTTGCACTGCAATGTGACATGTGACAATTAAAAGCCACACTTTAGAGATTAGGTGGCATATCGTCAAAGTAGACATTCATTTTTCCAGAATCCTTGAAAATCTCCTGAATTATGTCCTTTCATCTATTTTCTTACCATGGTAATTTCACCTTTCTCCATCCCTTCCTCACTCTTTTGTGGACTCCTGTCCCTTCTGTACTTCTCCATTTCTGATGCTAGTAACATCAGCCTCCTGTGAGTGTGAGGGCTTGTTACTTGTTGGTGTCGGTGGTGTTGTTGGTACCACTGTTGATGGTGCAGCTGCTAACATGTCAGTTACCTTGACATATTTTGTTGCATTTATTGTAAGTGGATTTTTTTTTTTTCAATTTTTCTCTCTTAGCTTTTCAGATTCATCTTTTCACCACTTCTTCCACAATAAACTCTGTTCTACAAGGTGTGTGAGTGCACAGCAAAGGTGGAGAGGGCCTGGTTGTGTTAAGCAATTTGATTGGGTAAAACAGTGTCAGTTAATGACTCAGCAGCTGTCAGTGTTTGTGTAGATGGTCCACAGCAGCCCTTCTATTGACTCATTGGTCTAAAAGTGCATTTACCCAACAGGTAAATGTCTGGTATGCCAGATTATAAGGCCTGGTGAGAATTAGAGAGATTACTTTGTGTAAGGTCACTGAGACAACTGGGGTGGATGATATTCTCCTTGATTTTTCTAAGGGATCTGTATGTGGTGGGACTGTTTTGGTTGATATGCTTCTACAATTTCACATGGAGGTGGGACAGTGCAGTTAGACTGACAGACCGAGGTGGTGGACTACCGCCGAAAGGTCTTTGCCAGTGTAGTGCTAGGCACAGTCCAGCTATGAAATAAACCTTTTGACTCAGGAATAAAAATCCAGCCATCGTAATCATCACGTAAATCACATCATGTATGCCGCCAAAGATATTTGAGGTTGCATGGGAGTTTTCCAAACCAATCTATATGTGTTTTTTGGGATTCACCAGGGTATTTGATCCTGTGAGAAAAGTCTTTTGCGTCAAATTCAGATTCGGACTCGGATTAACAGTAGAAGATGGATGGATCCATAGGTTTATAGCTCCTGCTAAATAGTTGTTTACTTCTTTGCTTACAGAAGCAATCGTTCTGTCTGATGTAAAAAACATAATGAAATTTGTCCATGCCAGACTACACGAGAAAGACAAGCTCAGTGCTTTCCTGAAGTGAGTATTAAGTTTCCATATTCTGTGTTGTGTCTGTGTAGCCATGTTAGAAAACCATGTTTGTTTGTTTGCCAGCAAGTGATTCTAGAATCATAAATAAGCATGGTAACATAAACATTCATTCCTTATTTAATTTGCAAGACTCAAGACCTTTTTACTATTACTCACTTTATTAGTTAGTTTAAAGTTGTATTGCTGACAGACAGGTTATAACAGAAAATGAATTATTCCAATGCTTTTAGTGTGGATCACAGTTAGTCTCACTTGGATTTGATTTAAGTCTGCCAGACTTTTATTCTTGTGAATTTCTGGTAAGTCTGTATAGTACAGCTACTTTTATTTGCTGTTTATGGTATCCATAAATTTGAGGTAAAAATGTAACTCTTCAGCTACTAAATTTCTATATTTTTTTTCTGAGATAGCATCTAAAAGATTGACTTGTTAGCAAAAACAAAAGCTATAGAAACGTGAAAAGCATTGTGATAATTATTTGTGTAGTCAGTTGGATCAGTTAACCCATATTTACAATCTCATTTAACAGGAAAAAAATTAGTGATTTGGAGACAGACAAGAGGGAGCTGGTTGGTGTCTTTGGTAAAACTGGGGCTGGAAAGAGTTCTCTGATAAACGCCATCATTGAAGAGAAGAACCTTTTGCCTTCTGGAAGTGTCAGTGCATGCACCTCAGTCATGATCAAAGTGGAGGCTAACACGCAAGGCTCTAACTATGAGGCAGACATTGAGTTCATCACACCAGAGGTCAAATTAGTTTTAGCTGTAGAAATATAATTTCTTATTATTCTGGGTTTAGGCCCTTTCAATAAAACTGAAAAGCATTTTTGTTTTTAAGGAGTGGAAAGATGAGTTGTGGTCATCTCATCAGTTTCTTGGGGATAATGAAGACTGTGAAATGGATGTTGATAATGACTATCATGACATCAGTGAAAAGTTTTCAGCGCTCTATGGAGAAGAATGGAAAGGAAAGTCCTCTGAAGCTCTAATGGATGGGAAATATTTTAGAGAAATTCCAGAATTTCTCCAAGGCAGGAGGAAGATTTTGTCATGTGAATCAGTAAGACATCACTGCTCTATTACTTACTGATGTATTCTTGCAAGGGTGATGTATTCAGGATGGTTCAATTTACATACATTAGTCATTAGTTTATAGTTTCTTTTTAGCCCTGTGATGGACAGGCAACCCTTTCCAGGGTGTACCCCAACTTGCCATATGGCATCTGGAATAGGTCTGTGCCCCCTTGTGACCCTAAATTTAATAAGTGGAAGAGAATGAATGGATGGATCTATCATCTTAAAACCT